GAAAAATTCAAATTTCTCAAGTTTCACAAGTATTTTTTTTTCCAAAAAATGACGAACAAACCAGGAAACAGCTCTTTGTAATCATAACAAATTATGAGGAATCAACAACACCGTAGAGCACAGTAAAAAAAAACAAACAATAAATACAATGAGATCATCAACATTCTGCCAAAAACTCAGATTTTCGGGACTTCTTCTAATTTCTCGAAGTCCATGCTTTCAAATGCGATGGCACTTTCTTGCTGCTGCTCTTGTTCCTTTTCTTCCTTTGCTTTTTCCTCTTCCTTCTTTCGCTCAGCTTCGGAAATCACAGGTTCTTCCGGTTCTTCAGGCTGTGGGAGGTTTATCTGAACAAATGCACTGCATACTCAAAGAAATTAAGGAAGAAAGTCACCAATTCACCTTCATTTGCTGCTTGTACAATTCCATGGCTCTTTCGTAATTAGCGCGCATTGTTTCCATGTTGCTCATGTAGAAGTCATGTACAAATGTAGACATATGTACCGTATTTTCAATCGAGAGCGGTTCACCCTCTGCACGTTCTCCGCACTAGAAAACGTGTGGTTGTAATTGTTTATCAAAAAAGAGAAGTATGGTTACCTTTCTTTGGGTAGGATACGGCTCGCTTGGGATAATCAGTAGCTTTGGTGGTCGTTGGCATAGCTAAAGAAACCAACAATTTGCTTGACTTACGGTAAAATTGGAAAGATAGCTCAAATTTTCCGACTGATATTACGGTTACGATGTCATTCTTCAAACCCATATATCGCGACATTTAGGCAGATAAATCACTTTCGATCATTCTGGAGAAAGAAAAACTTACAATATTGAAAGCCGGCGTAAGTTCGAAGCAATTTCTGAAGAGATTAGCTCGGCAGAGAACATACAGACCGAGACGTGCACGAGAAAGAGCTACTACCAGACGTCGAACATCCCTAAAAAGGGTGTTTAAATACAAAGACAAAAAGAAGCAACGCAATATAAACTAGATGAGGGTAAAATCAATATGCATAGCTACCATACCTGATATGTCCAATGTTGTATGTTCGTACCAGTGAAAGGATGATATAATCATTCTGCTGGCCTTGATATTTGTCAACAGTTGAGATCTAAAATAACTGGTAAGACAAAGAAATGAGAAACGAGAAAGAATGACTCTACCTTTGCTGGAACGCCTATAAGCGGATTATTTGCACATCTTCGTGCCACCACGTCACGAATAAGCTGTGCCTAAAAAACATGCGGTTTGTTCATTTTTGCGTCTAAGCTAATAGTAGCTAAACAAGATTGTAAAGCTTACTTGACCGTTATAGGTGGTTATGATAGAAATTTTATCAGCAGGATACCCAATGATCCGCATGTAAGTGAACAAAGCAACAGCATATTCAGCTTCACCCAGATTCTATAATGTATTTGTTACAAAACACCAAAGCGAGCCTAAGGGCACTGCGGTAATTACGTGTTGAGTTGAAACGAAAGATTCACCTGATAATAGTACGGACTTGGTTGCGATTCTCCTTGCCCGTTGAAATCTGGCACATCAATGAGTTGATAATTGAAGGCGAAGCCTGCATTTGCTGCCTGAAAATCAAATGGATATGCTTGAAAGCTTTTTCATCTCATATGCATCCAGCAAGAAGAAACGACAAAAAATAAGAGCTGCAGGAACACCACGAAAACACTAACCTGAAATTGGGGCAAAGCCTCGACGTGGGGGAGGTTACCAAGTTCCTTATACCGCCAGCTGTACAATGCAGCGATTCTGGAATGAAATAC